TGTAAAATCCTCAATATAGCATTCTTCTTCTTCTTCTTCTTTTTCTTCTTCTAAATAAAGCCTATTTCAATTCCTGCATTTCCTTAAAGAATTTATCTCCACCTCAGGTGAAACTATTTAAAATGTAAAAAAAGCTTTGATTAATAATGTCGGAATTGGAAAACCGAATGTAAAACGGAACTCCAAATCTATCTGCATCTAATTCGTCGAGCTTTACGGTGATTAATTAGCGTTACTTCGGAGGCAGTACATATTTGCGACATCAAAACCTAGCGGAAAATGCATCCACTCTGGTTGAATTTACCATATAGGGTGGCTATCTTTAAATGATATTATAGATATTTCTCTAATATAGGAGGCATATACGCCTAGAAGATCTACCTGAAAGAAATTCCGGACAAAATGGCAGCGAAATACAGAAGTGAATATGGCTTGCGAATGTCTAGAATTAACAGACAAATAAGTAGACGAACTTTGCAGATAACGTAAACCTATGTCCAGGAGGAGGCGAAATTCAGTCACTTAATTTGTCGGATTGACATTTCAACCCATCACTAGAGCGAGCAAACTCAAAAGGGGTGCAGTATTCATAGGATTCAACCCCTACGCGAGTACATTACAGACTAAAATTAGCAGTTTTGGCATCCATCGCAAATGTCTTAACGCTATGCGACAATTTAATGGCTGTGAGAATCCTTAACAGTGTTAGTAATTGGCGTGACACCGACTCGAAGACATGGAATGTCGATACTATTTACTGGAAGGTATTTCAACCGAGCAGTCTCCGCAGTTTTATCTATAATAGATACTTGCTGTTGAGTGCCTGCTCGCGGGGCTCGAGAGTGAACTTCAAGGCACAACGAGACAATTGAGTTTCACAACCGATCGGTGAGCGCTTGTCTAGCATTGTATTTATTACCAATCGAAACCGGAAAGGCAACGAACCTGTGACGCAGCGGGCCGAGCAGTCGACTTCTAACTAACAAGGTTGTTGGTTCGAGCGTCAGGGCTCGCCACCCCTGGGGTTAGGTATGGCTGACTGATGACGGTTAATAAACCAGAAATGGCCATTCCAGCCTCCCTCCCTGTTGGTAATGCATTTCTGTCTAATTAAATATATCACGGCCTTCCCTTCGCCAGACTCAGCCGTCGAGCCCATTAGCTGATCCGTGCCAGCGTTTGATTTGATGAATAAAGACGGAAGTAATGGCACTCGCAGATGGATCAATTCTGCAGGAGCCTCAGTCGAATGGTCAGCTACAACTATTTGACCAGTTTTATTACTAATTGATGCCTACTATGCATATAATGAGTAAGTACTTCGTGTACTTACCTCCTCCAAACTGGCTGGTGGGGCGCGCGTCGGTCCGAAGTAGTCCCGGCTCGCCGACTTGCCAATGGTCATGTCTCGAGGGTGTGTGCGGTTCAGTGAATGCATGCTGTTGTACTGGAGGCCAGCTTTTAAGAAGAAGCAGTAGAGAAAAGCCGGTAAGTAATCATTGTGGAGCTTGAGAAGGTAGTTATCGAGAAGCCAAAGTCCGTCATAGTAGGGTTAAATTTACGTACCGCATTGCCAGAGAATAGCCCGATAAAAACCACGACTAATATCGTTTGACATGGTGCTACTTTTGATTAAACAACCAAGAACCTACGGGAAAGTCTTAAATTTATTCATCGATCATGTTCCCCTCCCAGCGAAAAGAACCGAACGTGTTATTGCAGGAACAAAGGGGTAATCGGAAAACTCAGCATATAGCCATAGAGAAACGCACTGCTTTAAGAGGGGCTTGCTTCTGCAACCTACCCTACCTGTGTGAGCAATAAACCGTTCCCAAAATATTTGCAGGTAGGAGCTCCTTTTCGTACACTGTCATCCAAATAGGCATACTGATACACATGCCCAGTGATACTTAACACCATCAGAAACTCAAAACCTACCGTCAAATGGTACCAACTATTAACCCCTAACGGAAGGAAGGTTCTTCGTGCATGGGGGTAACAGCTAGGAAATAAGGTAAAACGCACGGAGAGAACTCAATGTTGCGGAATAACCAGGCTTCGTGACTTTTGTGAATATTCCTTTGTACCGCACCAAGCATTTGACAAATTTGATTAACTGTATTGAGATTTCTTTGGCGCGGATCTCCGATGGGAGTGGTGTGATTGTGTGTCAGCAGGGGTGGCCAGTTCCCTCCCCTTCCTACTGTTGATGTCTCCCTCTGCTCTGGTTCGCCATTTGCCGCTCGTCACGACCCCTTCCCCCGGTTGTCGATAGCACTGCAAACCTCGGCGGTGTCTATGTGATATGACGAGACAGTTCTATATGTACATCCATATTCCCCTTTATCGCTATATTCTACCCTTGTTATTCTATCCATCTATTTGCCGTAAAACAGACTTCGCACGCTTCACATTCCGTTTTCTTACTTTATCTACAAATGCATGCTTGATGTGGTGCTTACCGGTTCAGGCCAGCGTTTCCATAACCGGAGAACTATCTCAGGTGATCTATTCACCCTTATCTGCTACCCCCGACGTCATCGTCTGTTACACACTTTTTTATTTTCCTTTAAATGGGTGCCAGTCATAATTCATAAAAATTCCCAAAAAGCTTTGCCAGACCTGGTTTTCAGAGAGATGTTAGTTTTTGAAGACTTGGAGGATGAATGCGTTGGGCTTATTTATGAAGATGAAGGTGGTAGTCGAGTTTGTAAACAGCTAATCGTGTAGATATTTTAAAGAGGTTTCTTCCCACGTACTCGCAGATGATTTTATGAAATCAACAGTCCTGAAGGAGAGTATGATTTTGATGGGAAGAATGAAAAGCAGTAAAGGTAGGGTCTGATTTGTGTTAAACAAAATATGAACCCAGAACGCAGAGGTCAACCTACCGCGATTGAGACTTGCAGGCACACTCGCAGCTCTCTCGCCTCTTTCTGCTCTTTCCGACTCTGTGAGTGGACGATCAATGTTGGTTGTGCGATACTGGAAGAAAGTTTTGCCAGAGTACTGATGGTGGGAGCCGACCGTCAGAGCATGGTGACCCTGTTTCTGCAGTCTTGGCTCTTTAAGTCGGAAGAAGGCATGATGCTCGACAGCTGACTTCCACAGGCGTTTAGCAAGATGAGGATTCAGTAGACGAAATCCAACCGTTGCTTCCACTGGCTCAGCCTTTTATTTTAAAAATAAGAACAAAATGAATGCGTCAACAACTAAACTTAGATGAGGTCGTGGTTAAATTTGAGATCATCTATCATAGGATCACCACGTACCTGCTTATTTTGCATAACTGCCTACTTATTCCGTAGTAGTAAGCATGTTTTGTTTTACTACTTGGGTGTTATATGAAGTGGTAGGAAAACGAATGCTTGCTTTCGCCTTAAGCCTGCACTCCTCAACTTCACCAAAGTTGCCTACGTGAAAAATGTTTTGAAAAGTACATTTATTCCAGTGAATGGATTAGTCTGATTCTCTGGACTGAGGGTTAGAAGACAATAGTTTCTTCTTAATGTTATTATCAGGGCAACCGTAACTAGGAAGTCTT